CCCCCCCCCCCCCCAACCTACCCCAGTTCGTCCAATGACAGGTCTCGGTAGTACAGCTCCACGGCGGCTTCCACAGCACCTTGTCGGACCTCCAGCACCTCGCCTGCGCCCCTCCCCCTCTGACGTCCCTGCCCGTCCTCGAACGGCTCACGCACCTGCATCGCGTCACTGATCGCCTGTGTGGGCAGGGTCAGTCGGTTGGCGTTGACGTAGTGCTCAGCGCCTTCTGCAAGCGGGAGGGAGTGCATCGGCTGCTGTGAGTCGGGGCGGACCAGGCACACGTCCCATGGCTGGCGGCGGACGCCCTCGAGGAAGAGCGACCGCTTCTTGGCGGTCGAGACGGCGTCTTGCAGTAGGGGGGAGGGTGTGAGGGTGGCGCGGCCGGTCAGCTTGCCGCCGCCCGTGCGGTTGCCCAGGTCGATGGCCATGCCCACCTTGGTGCTGCGCAGGCCTGCTGTGATGACCTCGTCCCCTCGGGGAAAACGATTCCGACCTTGACCGATCCTGCGGGAAGGGTGAAAACATGGCGCTTGTTCTTCGTGATGGTCTTCGGCTGGTTGATGTAGTTGCGGTCCACATACTGCTCCGAGTACCTCGTCGCACCCGTGCCTGGAAAGAACTCCAGCCCGCGGCAGCCGGGCGCGACGGGGTGGGGGGGAGGAATGCGTTGCTGGTGACGTGATCGGTGCAGACGAAGCCAAGGGCGTAGGCCGCGCGGTGCGCACGGACACGACGACTAGCATGACAGCCAGCAGGTCCAGCAGCTCACCGGCCACGTCGATCCGCTCATCTTGTCTCTCGATTTCGTCTTTGCTGTTGGTGTTGGGGTAGTCCTTGGCGATTGCGGGCACGGCGAAGCCAGTCCGGACGAGGCCAGTCAGTGTAACGTAGTGCTCATTGTCTGCACACACACACACACACACTCACACTCACACACACGCACGCGCACACACGAAGAGAGGGCGATGAGATGAATGGGCAAGTGCTGCGGGGACCCACCCACCTACCGAGGTACTCCATGGGGACGACAAGGCAGTCCCTTGGCTCCTATCCGGCCATGGTCAGCTGCCCCCTGAGAGGGGCGTCAGCGTACGGCATGGGGGAGGGGACGCTCCGCCAGAGCTGTGGGTCTGAGCCGATTGTTGTTTTGATGTAGTTGAGCCGACTGCTTTCCTGCCGGGCATCTATTTGTCCATGCTGCTCCATCAAGCCGGCCCATGGAAAGGGTAGGGTTTGTGGGGTTTGTCCATTCCGTCGCGAATTCTCGCCGGGAAATGCGACAACGATGCGCTACTCCATGAGGGACGATTCCAGTTCGCCAGAGGGCCCTGGGTCTGGGCTGCCTCTCACCCGCGAGGAGCAGCTGAGATTATGGCAAGAGAAAACCGGCCGGCGACGAAACACAACTTCGACCATGATCCCCAAACTCAACCCGCCTACAGACGCTGGACGCAAGAGGAGGCATGCAGCACGCCACCTCGGTAGCAGCGACGACAACGAACATCGCAACCATGAGTCAAGCCCGTTCGACAGCATTCCCACACCGCCGCAGTTCCAGTTGTTCGTCAAGCAGAGGTGGTTCGATGAGGCGCCTATGAGGGAGGATCTGCTCATCAAGTCGGAGGGAAGGTCGCCTGAGGGCTATCTCATCCCGTGCTCGTCTCCGCCGCAGCAGCCTGACCCGATGCAGCAGCTGCAGAGCGACAATGGCGACGAGCCCCTTGTGGAGGGCGGTTTTGACGGCGAGTGGGGCGAGGCCTTCCTCTCAGAAGACGACAATGACATCGGTGAGCCTATCGGCCCCTATCGTCCCTCGTCCGTGAACCTGCTGTCATCTCTCGAGGCCAAGATCACACAGGTGGCCTCACAGATCAGCAGGGTGCGCGCGCGGGCGACGGATGGGCACAGCAGCGGGGCCAAGAGCCCCGAGGGAGGCCGTGAGGTGAATGTGGGTAAGGTCATGGGTGTGGGTGGGAGTCGGCTGGTGTCTGCTGCTGGTGGCCAGGGGAGGGGAGGTGGTGACGGCATCGATGGGGCAGGGGATGGCGAGCAGGATGGTGATGACGATGGGTGGAGGAGGCGGCGCGCCATGTCCACTGACGGCACACCCACACGGCCGCTGCGTGAGCTGCAAGGGAGGGAGGGATGTGCACCCACAGAAATAAGGTGTATGCGTTGATTGCCCTCTCTGTGTGTGTCTCATCCATCCATCAGGTTATGGCTCCCTGCGTGAGGAGCTGGATGTGTTAGGTTCGATGGTTGATGAGCTCAAGACCGGCTTGCATCAGACCACAGACGTCATCAAACATCTACAGCGCAACGAACAACAGGTACACACGACAAAACATACATACACAAGTACACGTTAAACACACTATCTTCGTTTCGGTTGCAGTATCAATCGCAGCTGGAGTCGGCCCACGAGCGCATCGTAGCTCTAGAGGACCACAACCGCGACCTCACTCACCAGTTGGCGCAGCATCGCATCGACCGTTCGTGTGTGTCGCCGTCTTCGCCCGGTCTGCAGTCGCTCGCCGAGGCACGGCTGCGGGCACGCTACGAGGCGCTGCTGAGGGAGAAGGACGAGGAGATCCAACGAATCACGAAGGCCAACAGGTGGGTGAGGGACGGGCAGTAGCTGTTGTTTGTAGGCAGACATCTGTGTCCACGCTCCGTATGTGTGTGTGCAGGGGCCCTGACGGTGAAGAGCTGACGGAGACGCTGCGTGAGATCCAAAGTGCCAACGAGGAGCTCACAACGCAGCTCGTCAAGGCTCATGCACTCAACCAGGTACAAATGAGACCACAGCTTAAATGGCCTCGTGACGGTGCGTATGCGTGTGAGTGTGTGCGTGCATGTATTGTGCAGGCGTTGCAGCGGAAGTATGTGCAGGGGGAGGAGATCCGCAGCCGCCTGCACGCCTTCGTCGAGACCCTAAGGGGACCCATACGCGTGTTTGTCAGGTCCGCACACAACTGACCGGCTGTTCGTTTTTCTGCGAAGTGTGCGTGCGTGCGTGGATGTCCTTACTCGTGTAGGGTGCGTCCGTTGATTGGCCGTGAGGTAGTGGATCACCAGGGAGAGCCGCTGCCGATTGACGTAGGTGGCAGAGAGAGTGGAAGGTCACGTCAAGAGGTAGGTACCTCTGCTGCTTTGGTTTTCCCGAAGGTGTTGGATGTGGACGACGGCCGGTGTGTGGAGTGGTTGTGCCCAAAACACATGCAGCAGAGGGTCACGGTAGGTGAACACACCCAAGCAAGGCAAGCGAAGCGGGTGACCGATGGATGCATCCCCTTTGTTTGTGCAGAACACGCGTCTGCTGTACCAATTCGATCGCGTGTTTAGCCCAGAGGCCACGCAGCACGAGGTGAGTGGAGTGAAGCGCTGCACTGAACCCCCTTCATGCCCGTACGTATTCTGTGTCTGCATGGGTGTATTTGTACTGCAGGTCTACGACGTGGCGTGTGCGCCTCTGATCCAGTCGGCCCTCGACGGCAAACGAGTCGCCATATTCGCTTACGGACAAACCGGCAGCGGTAACCGCCGCACGTATCCACCCACACACCCTACAGCAGCATATCAATGCTCTTGCCTTGTGTGCATCCATCCATCCATCCATCCATCAGGCAAGACGTACACCATTCTCGGCCCTGCGGGTCTGGTGGGGACCGAGGAGGGTGCGGCCATGCACAGTGCCTCGTCCATCCACGACGAGGGCCTCATTCAGCGGGCCGTGCGGCTCATCTGGGCGGAGAGGACACGCATGGAGGGCACACGCAGGGCATTCGCTGTACAGGTACGTTCAAAGTGCCGAAAGAGAGCGGTGTTCGTGGATCTTGGCTAATGTCGTTTTATGGTCTTTCTGTCAGGTTGTGTGTGTGGAGCTGTACAATGAGTCGTGTCGCGATTTGCTGACTGGGCAGGCCGCCACTGTGGCTTTGCTGCCCGGCCGCACCACGGGCCCACTTGGCAAAGTCGACGTCCGAAACATACACCCCACCGTGTATGAAGGCACCTCACGATGACCTGTGCTTCACTCTGTATGTGATGGATGGATGGCTGGGGGGATGACGTCTGTGTGTTGGTTCAGTGCCGACACGCAGGAAGAGGTGTTGGATCTCCTGCAGCAGGCGGCTGCAAACAGACAAACCGACAGGTGAGGACAAAAACACAAGCCACACGAACGGAGGAGTCTGCATTGATCACTCATCAGGACTCATCGCAACGCCACGTCGTCCCGCAGCCACGCGGTGTTTCAGCTCAGGTTCATGCCCGTCGCCACTCGCACATCTGCGGACCCGTCAATGCAACACCACAACAAGTAGGACGGAAGGCAACGAGCCAGAGTGTACATCAGACACACATTGGTTGGTTGGTTGGTTGTGTGCAGGTACGGCAGTGTTAGCTTTGTTGACCTGGCGGGCAGCGAGCGTCTGGAGACGCAACAGGTGTGTGCGGATGTGGACAACTCACACGCGACCCGTGTGGCCCGGCTAACTTGTATGCATCTTGGTCGGTTCAGGTCGGATCGAAGCAGCTGAACGAGGCGCGGTCCATCAACCTGTCCCTGGCCCACCTGGCCCAGTGTGTCACAGACCTGGCACAAAACAACAAACACGTCAACTTCAGGTACCACTCACTGCACACGGCCATGGAATCCCTGTCGCCTGCATTTCTGCGTCTCTTGGGTGTGGTGCAGGAACTCCCAGCTGACTTGGCTGCTGCAAGACTGCCTCGGCAGCAACCCCGACGAGTCGCAGTGCGCGTTTGTGGTGAACCTGAGCCCTTTGCCGCGTCACGCCTGGGAGAGCAAGTATAGCTTGAACTTCGCGTACAAGATATCTCTCGGCATTCGGGCCGCCAGAAATGAGGGCGCTCCTGCAAATGCGTGGGGCGCCTCCGTGTGAATGAGAGTGGGGATGGATGCTGGGGCGGGCTCCTGAATGAGACACTCTCGTGGTGATGCTGTCGATGGATGGATGCATGACGGACCATGTATCTGTGTGCTTGTGCCCGATGTATTGCACCTTGTGTGGTTGACAGACGTCAAGGTGAGTGATGTTTCCTGCTGCACGCCAGTGTTGCGGCTCAGGGATTTTGACTACGCGGGGTGTTCACAATCGAGGCGTGCGACGATGGATGAAGACGCTGTTAAAAACCCACGTACGATAGGGTCAATGACACGACACACCTAATGTCACATACACGTCTGGCGGCACCCAAAACGGGCGGACGCGACACGTACACACACTCACGCACACACGCGCACATGTCAGCAAATCGCTTGAGAAGGGCAAAGAGAAAGGAAGAGAGGACCGGAGAGTAGTGTAGCACACATACAGGCATGCAGGCAATGCAATGCAGGCAAGTAGGTATGGGATGGCAAACTCTTATGCCACCCGTCCGTCCATTCAGGATGCTTTGTACAAAGTCAGGCTCTCCACCTGATGGATGGATGGATGGATGGATGCAGTCACGTAGTCACGACGGCCGGCCGCGCTCCTGTCTATCTCTCTTCCCTGTTCCTCTTCACAAATGCACCCACCCACCGGCCACTCACTGCCATGCGCATGATTGCTTGGTTCGTCCATCTCATCCCCGCTGCCCCCCCTGTAGGAAGCCGAAGATGCCGCCCTTTCTCCCCCCTCTGTCCAGCTGCCCAGCACCCCTCTGTCGCTTGCTGTCGTCCTCCGGTCCGCCCACGAGCAGGTCGTCGACCCGCCCTAGGCCGCCCAGCCCCATGCCACCCAGGCCGCCCAGCACCATGTCGGAGTCGGTCTCGCCCTTGAGCTTCGTCTTGACTTTCTCAACCTCATCCTTGACCTGCACACCAGACATCACACACGGGGGGACACAACACACGCAATGTACTGACGCGGCGTGTGGGTGTGAGTGTGTTCGGTTCTGTACGTTTTTCTCTTCTGCGAGGAATTTCTGTCGCTCCTTGCTGTCGTCGGTGAGTCGGTCGTTGAGGCTCTTGAGGACCTGCTCAGTGGCCTTGCCCCACTTGCCCAGTATGTCGATCATGTCGTCCAGGTCTTGCGGCAGACGCACATCGCGACTCGCCACACCACTCACAGCAAAGCACTGCTTCTCCTGGACAATCACACACGCACACACACACACCCCACCACACACACACGCCCTTAAATAATGTGTATCCGTCGTCGTGTGTGTGGTAAAATGTCGCCTCCCTCCCTCCACCCCCGGCCATGGACGTACCTGGTCCATTTTGCCCTCGACGAGTTCGGCATAGATGGTCTCGATGATGATGTTCTCCAGCTGGCGTGTGTTGCCGGGCTCCAGGTCCAGCGCAGTCGCCAGCGCATCGAAGGTCAGCAGGGTCGAGTTGGAGGCCATGGACGTCACCGTCAGCATCCGCAGCTTGCGGTACATGGCGGGGGACAAATCGGCCGCCGGGAAGAGCTCACGGCGGGCCTTGTACTCCTCCAGGGTGCCGTAGGCGAAGAGCTTGAGGAGCGCCACCTGCTTGTGCGCCTCAGGAGACGACTTCTCGTACTCCTTGATCGACGGCAGCTCCAGCAACTCACCGAACGTGAAGACGCCGGGGTGCTCCAGCACCTGTGTAATGAGCGCCTCCTGCACACGGACAGAACGCACGTCAGACGCAGTCACATGCGCGTGTTTGTCGACGCATCTCTGCGTCTGGGTCGGGTGTGCAGGTTTGTTGGCGTGGTTCTGCGTGTGTGTGTTTCCTCGCCCTCACCAGCGCTTTGCCCTTGACGGTCTTGCCCAGCAGGATGAACTGCTCCACCGCGGATGTGTCGAGCGAATCCATCGCACGTCACGGAAACGAACAAAGCGCTGATAGATGCGAACAGGAGAGATGATGGCGAGCAACAAATCAAGGCACTTCGGTTCGGCGGAGTTGCGACATGTGCGAGCTTGAAGATGGATAAACGGAAACAGAGACCCTAGAGCTCAGGGAGGCCGTGCGTGGAGAGTCCGCGAATTGGGCTAGTGCCCGATTTGCGCCTTTAAGAAACAACACGTTCGGTCAGACAAAACGTTCGATCGCGATCCTATGGAAGAAAAAAGGAAAACTGGTAGCGGTGATGTGTTGCTCGCACTACTACAGACACGCCAATATGTCGAGAAGCTTCGTGGTTTTTTGTCACGTTTGGATCAGTGACCATTAAACTGATGTACCCTAAAGCAAGTATAGCTTGGCCGTCTGGGTGCTCCCTGAAACCGCTGCTCCTTGAAGAAGATCGCGTTTTTTTTCGCGGAGAAAGTAAGCGAACAAGGGCATCTCTGGGCGCGAACTTCTTAAAAGATGCATCAGCTGACTGAACACACGAAACGCGCCAGTTTGTGGTGGATGGGATGTTCTCCTTTGTCCGGTCATACAGCTGGTTGAGCTTGGTCTTTCTTGGGTGCCTTTTGCAGGTCCCTCAGTGCCGCATCGACTTTGTCGAGCTTCTGGCGGTTAACGAAAGAGATTTCGCCGACTATCGTGCAGTGGACTTGGGAGTGGATATGCTTGCAAGACTCCTCTCTGCAAATGCGGTCACCATCGACTTTCTGCTGCTTCCCCGCTTGGCGCCGCAGCCTCTTCTCGCCACTCTCGGAGTCATCGAAGACGTGCAGGAGCGAATCGATGGTCGAGCCTCCGGTGTTATCTGCAGCCACACCGGTAAGTGCCGCCAGACACAGCCAATGTCTGCATTGCAGTTGAGCAGAAGAAGCCTTCGCGGCTCTCATGACGGTCTTGCCAGTGCCGCCCTCGCCAGTCAGGCACATGCACAAGGGCGCGATGTATTTATTGTCCCGCAGGTCTCTGTAGTGGTTCAGCAAGTGGCTGCAGATGATTCGGGACGCCCGCATATGCTCTTCGTTCAATCGGTAACGGCTCTCCCAGCGAACAGAGAAGGTCCTGTCGTCGACCGTCTCAGGCGGCTTGAATGCGGACACCGGCTGCGCCAGCAGTCGAGTGAGGCTGGCAGCATCCATCGAGTGACCACCGTGTGTGAAGACATTCGACTCGAAGAGAAGGTACTCAGGAGGCTTGCTTCATCTGACGTGACACGGGTGTGCCCGATTTCACTTTGCTTGTTGCGTTGCTGGAGCAGGCCATCATTGTTGCTGCGTTGTTCGTGCAGGTCATCGTTGGGCTGATCCTGGCGGCTCCCATGTGATTGACAAGCCGATTGACAGTCATCGAGGGCAGTCTTCGATAGCCCCTTTAACAGGCACATCCAATTGTATCCAGCGATGCGATATACTTGGCGAGGCACGTCTTGAACACGGGCGCAGCAGGAGCGGCAACATGAGGGGTGCAGCCACTCTGAGTACCTGCATGTTATGGCCACGTCTGTCTTCGAGATCTGCATGTTTTTGAGACTCTCTCTCGCCATTGTTGCATGCGTCGGTGTGCTTCTCGCCAACACTCGTGCTGTGCGCGTCTTTGTGACGCATAATTGGACCACCACTTCGCACGCTTTTTTCGACCCCCGCCCAATTCGCGGCCTGGGGTGCCCACGCAGTGGGTGCCCCTTACTCGGAATCTTTAAGAAACAACACGTCGGGTCAGACAAAACGTTCGATCGCGATCGTATGGAAGAAAAAAGGGAAATCGGTAGCGGTGATGTGTTGCTCGCACTACTACAGACACGCCAATATGTCGAACAGCTTCATGCTTTTTGTCACGTTTGGATCAGTGACCGTCAAACGGATATGCCCTAAAGCGGCAAGTTATTGGAAAAAGCTTGGCGGTCGGGACGTCTAGGGTGCTACATGAAACCGCTGATGCTTGAAGGGCATCTCTGGGCGCGAACTTCTTAAAAAAGCAAGAGTGGAAACTGTCATTAACCGTAACACTCGTCTGTGTGTCCGTGATACTCATACAAATACAGTCCCATCAGCACGCAGACTCAAACAGGCTCAAGGGGAGGAGGGATCAATCCCCGCCCCAT